TTTATCTATAATCCTTTTATTTTATGCAAAACTTATTAATCGATTGCCGAAACCGATTTGTTCCATTAAGCTTAGTTAAGATCGAAATTTTTTAGATGCGTTGCATTAACTAAGTTAGATGTGTTGCATTTAGCCTTATTAGATTTATTGAAATAATATAGATAAATGTTGCTTTAAACCTAATTAAATATGTTGAATCACGCTGAATTAGATAGGTTGCATTCAGGGACTAATATGGGTTGCTAAGTCTATATGGGTTGACTAATGTAGGTTCTACTAATATAGGTTGCTTTCAGGAACTAATTTAGATATCTATGGTTGCATTAATTAAGATCAATCCGCTGCTTTAAACCTAATTTGACAAAACATAATTCTCGGGACATTTTCTAAAAAAAATTTTTGTCAAAAAGAATGAAAATTTCCGGAATTTTTAGTATTCATTTTTTTTTTTTTATTGTGTGCGAAAACATTATTATTCTTTCGATATTATTATTTTATTGTATCACCAGCGAAGTGACAACTAGTTAAATAAATAATAATAAAAAAAAGTCAAAAGCAAGATAAATTTCAAACAGACCACCCATCTGTTACAGATTTTGGGGGAAAAAAATCATAACAGCTTTATGTTTTTCCTACCCTAGAGAGAGGGGCGCACAAAATTCATTTCGAGCTCCCATGGCGTACCAGGGCGTGACGTTGCGTCACACCTATTGAAAATTCGTTTGCGTTACAGTGAAGTGCGAAGCGTCCGACCCCCCTCGAAGGTCGAACTATTACGTGAGCGACCATCTGACGATATGTGAACGATATATTCCACTCATGGTTAACGGTTAGTGACCCACACTTCAAGGTGAAGAACTCTTCGATTGTTCTAAAATCAGAGCACGCGTTTATTTGGAGGTTAGAATTGTTCCACGCAAGGCTATATATTCGATGGGTAAATTGATGCGAATTTAAAGTGGTAGAAAATAATAAGTATTGTTACAATTATCAGCATCATCATAAAATTGATAAATTACTCGTCACAATCGTTTAGATAATTTCTTACATTAGCTTATGCCAGCGTTACACAATGATGCGGAACTTCTTTCTTTTAAATGCATCATACTATGGATAGCATAAGTTAAGTGGCATACAATCCAATTCTATCTAATTCATTCAATATCAATGCATCAAATTTTACATTCAAACCATTATTTTTTTCTTTCCATGATTTCAGAAATATTTATATGTAAGTTCAAAATGTAGAGAAAACATGGAAAAAATTACAGAATAATGAAAAATGAAAAGAAGGAAATTGTTCAAAAAAAAAAAAAAAAAAAAAAAAAAAAAAAAAAAAAAAAAAAAAAAAAAAAAAAAAAAAGAAGAAAAAATTAATAAAAATCCGGAAAAAATGGATATAATATATCTTCATTAGTTCACATGATTAGATCAGCAAAAATGAGTGATTTTTAATATTGAATCAATTTAGACAAGGCAAAATTTATCAATACAATAGTGAAAGGAGCGCACAAAAAATGTTTGAAACAAAATAGAATAGAACATATTAAGTAATAAATATCACGCAAAAAAAAACAAAAAATAAAATGTAAAGAAAAAACAGAAAAAAACATAAAGCGAGTAGTGAATTCAAATGAACATACATGAATGGGAAAATTTTCAAGAATGATTTAAAATATTGTTTATATATATATATAAAAGTTCAAAATGTAGAATAAAACAAANGAAGAAAGTTAAGAAAAACAATAAGCTTCATTTATTGCGCTTAAGCTGCAAGTAAACAGAACTCATTAGATAAGTTCAAAATGAAGAATAAAACATAGAAAAATTATAGATATATGAAAGAAGGAAAAAAAAGGGGGGGGAATAATAAGTAAAAAAATAACAAACAACAGTTTTTTTAAAAAAAAAAAAAGGAAGAAATTTTATTTAAAAAAACCGGAAAAAAAAAGATATAATCTTTTCTTCAGCCCACACGATTATATCCGCAAAACAGATGTAATCGTGTGGGCTGAAGAAAAGATTATATCTTTTTTTTCCCGGTTTTTTTAAATAAAATTTCTTCTTTTTTTTTTTCTTTTTTTTTAAACTGTTGTTTGGTATTTTTTTACTTATATATATATACAAGAAAACATGAGGAAAGTTAAGAAAAACAATAAGTTATTTCATTCTCTGCTTTTACATGTTATTTTTACTTTTTGTGTTCTATTCTATTTGTTGTAATTTTTGTAAAAAAAAATCATGAGTGCTCCTCACACTATTGTATTAATATATTTTGCTTTGGCTTTATTGATACAATATCAGAAGGCACTCTGTTTTGCGGATATAATCGTGTGGGCTGATGAAAAGATTATATCTTTTTTTTCCCGGTTTTTTTTAAATAAGATTTCATCCTTTTTTCTTTTTTTTAAAACTGCTGTTTGTTATTTTTTTACTTATTATTTCCCCCCCCCCTTTTTTTTTCATATGTCTACAACTTTTCTTTGTTTTATCTTCATTTTGAACTTATAAACATATCGTTGCATTAACTCTTAATTTTTGATTATTTCTACTGCAGCATTTATGAACGTAAACATAAAATGCCAGCATTAAAAATATATTGTTTAAATATCTCAAAACTACAAAACGTTTTAGTCAACTGTTTAATCATATTTCTCTTGAGATAAAAAAAAAAAAAAAAAAAAAAAAAAAAAAAAAAAAAAAAAAAAAAAAAAAAAAAAAAAAAAAAAAA